CACCACCTACCACTACGACTACCAACACCAACACCATCTCCTCCAGAAGAAACAGAAGCAGAAGCAGCAGCAGCAGTATCAGCAGCAGCCAACACCCCTGTCGGCAGCCTCAAGGCGGGTATACTCCTCTCGGGCACCTGCTCAATCCCACTCCCGCGCCCACCCCCAGCACCAGCACCATCTCCAGCCGCACCAAAAGCCGGCGTCATGGCCGCACCTCCCCGCACTCGTCGTCGCCCGCGCCGCCGTCCTCAGCTCGCGGTAAAACGCCTCCAGCGCCGCCGCATCGAGGCAAAAGTTCTCGAGCTCATCCTTGATCCACTCGGGTTCGCGCGTCGTCCACGTCGACCAGCCCGATCCCGGGCCGCCACCGCCGGCACATGCTGTTGTTGTTGTGGCGGATGTGGATGGGGGTTTGCCGGGTTGGCCTTGGTTGGGGGTGTGGGTTAGTCCGGGCGTGCCGGATGCGCTGGTGCTGCCCGGCGTCGTGCCCGGTGCGGAGAGGGTCGGGCGGACGACGGGGGAGAGGAGGGAGGAGGAGGTTGGGGCGGCGGTGGTGGTGGTGGCTGTTGTTGTCGTGGTTACTGGCCTCAGGGCGGGGGAGGCGACCGGGGAGGAGTCGTAGGGCGGTAGAGGGGTTGGGATGTTGTAGGGGGTGTATGAGCTCGGAGTGATGACGCGGATCGAGCTGCCGAGGCCTGGTGTGCCTATAGCAGGCCCCTGCTCTTGCCGCTCCACACGGAGCTCCTTTTGCATTTCCCTCTCCCGCGCCGCAAACGCGCGGCTGCTGTAAAGCCGGTTGGCGAGAACCAGGAAATGGCCGTCATCGGTGATCTCGGCGAGGATGGACCCCGACCGGTGGATGTACTGTGTGTACCGAAAGTCGGGCCTGCCCCATGAGTAGCTCACATCCACGTTGCTGGGGAAGTTGGACGCCGCCTCCATGTCGAGCACAAAGTCGAACCGGCGGAGGATGGCTTTTTGGTAGAATTGCCGCCCCGGATGCGCCTGCGGGGTGAACGACGTCGGGTCGTAATAGGTGACGGGTGACTGGTCTGGCGGCGGCACAGCGAGCTTGATTTTATACGGCCGCCGGAAAGGGTTAATTTCGCTGATGGCGCTTGCCTCGGCGATAGGCACCTCAACCAGCCGGAGGCCATACTGGCCAGCCTCACGCGCCCAGTTTTCGATAACGTCCTCCACAAGCTTCTGAACCGTCACGTTCATCCAGTCAATACGAAGATGGTAGCAGTTGTCCGGGTTGTGTAACCTGTCGTAGTGCAGCTCCACCATCTCGGGGCGATATGATCGCTTCCTGTGGTCCACGTCGTATTTGATGACCCGACTCAAAACCACCTTTGGCTTATTCCCAGCCGGTGCCTGCGGCGCTGTTGGCGTTGTTTCGCCCGATTCTGGCGAGTCCTCTTCATGAATTGAGGTTGGCCGGGAGAAGCTTGGTCTCCCGTCCCGCGGCGGCTGCTCCCCCATTGGTGTCGATGGCATGGATCCTTGGCCTCGCTTGGCATTGAACCAGCCGGGTGGGTGTGGTTTTGCAAACTCGTTGCTGATCTGATAAAAGTACTGCCCATCCCTGAACTGGTGCCGTTTCTCAACGTGTACAAACAGCCCGCTGTCTTTCTTCCCCTCCTTCTCCTTGTCGTCCGGAACCATGAGGCGTTTGCCCAGGGCTTCGGCCTCTTCACGGTCTTCCAGGTCGTCAAAGTTGTCCAGGAGCCAGCTTGTCATGTCCGAACCAATGAAACAGTTGTAGTGCAGCCGGAAGTGCCACCTGCGATTCTGCATCCGGACACCCCCGTTCTCTACCGGCTGCTGCATAGCCTCAGCGAGCGCTGCGAGGTTGATGTTTTTCTTGGAGAACGGCTCCCGGTTCCTCACAAGCTGTCCTTTGCGGTCAAGTCCCTCCAAGAGAGGCAGTGTCTCTAGCTCGGCTGCAATCACGACCGATGCGTCTTCTGTTTTGTAAACAATGTCCAGCGGGTTCGTGTCCTTCTTCGAACGGGTGCTGCCAGAACCCTGGAGTCGCCGTTCGTTCGGAGGAACATAGCGATGTTTCTGCCACATCTGAGCCAGTTTCCTGATACCCTCGATCCGAATTTCCTCTTCATTGTCGCCAGTTTCGGTTCCCGGCATAGACGAACGACGTCCCGTCATTGGTATGAGGACAAAACGAGCCCGCCAAAATCGGAGGTGCTCCGTCAGCTCGTCGTTGTGGCCGGCGATAAAAGCATCAATGTAGTTCCAATTCCTCTCCGCCTTTGGCGCGACGAGATCAAACTCGCTGGTCCTGTAGCCTCCGTCCAATAAAGTCCGGATTGCTGGCTTGTACAACGTCGGCGAGCTAAAAGATGGCCCGAAGGAGTCGGTTGGTTTTCGGACAAAGATGTTGACCTCGACCTCAGTCCCGTTCACACACGAGAGCTGATGGATCGTGTTGCCGACCGACATGAAAATGCTGATACCGTCCTCCATCATGTGATTCCGCGAAAAGATGTCGGCCACCTTGACCTGCTTCTGGCCAAATGCCTTCGCAACAGCGGGGCCGACGACGATCTGGAACCCCTGAGAGAACCGGAGACTAACCAATTCGCGGAGCAGTTCATCGCGTGACTTGGGCTCTTCTTGAAGCTCCTCGTCAAAATCTTGTGAGACGTTGTAAGGCTGGCGCTCGTACTGCGCTTCGAACTGGTCTCTTGATGGAAAATATTCTGAAGTCAGGGGCACAGCGGCCGGCGAGCACAGGCCTTTCCATTTCATGATTCGCATTTCCTGGGGCCTGGGAAACACGTGTTGCCAACGGCTGTACAGCATGGCCATGTCCACGTCGTTTGTGTCGGGGTTTGACGGGTTGAGCACCGTCAGCCAGGGCGAAAGAGCTGTCTTGGGTGATAGGGTAGAGGGCAGCTCCGGGATGGCGCCGGCAAGCAATTTGGAGTTGTAAAGCTTCTTGGCGTCCTCTGCCCTGATGGCGTTCGAGTACCGAAAGTCCCGGTCGTGACCAACAGGCTCTGGCCGAAGCGTCGTGGCAAGGATGGAGGAGCCAGATAACATGGCGGCGGGCTCGAGTTGCTGATTTCTGATGACGATGGGCCGGGTCGGCGAGTCTGTGGGAAACTGGGGCCCCGGCGCAAACGAAAAGGGCGAAAGGGCTGGCGAGAGCGCAGACGTGGATGTTCCTCCCGTCAGCCTACGAGACGACGACGGCCGCTGGCCTGGTTTCGACGGCGTCACCCGTAGATCCTGTGAACTGCGGGACGGCGTCAAGGTTTTGGAAGCACCCGCGCTTTCCATGCTCACCTCTGCCGTGGCCACTTTAGGGGCAGCAATGCCAAAACCCCGGTTTCCCAGGCTAATGTGGCGCATGAATTTGGGGGCTTTTAGCGGTGACGACGAAGCCTTGGGTTCGGATTTGTTGGATTGAGCGCTCATACTCTTGCGGTTGACGGGTGGGACCTCTAGCCTCTGGGACGTCGGGCGATGATAGGGAGAAAGTTCGGGGAGCGTCTGCTGGCTAGCTGTTGAGGGTCGGCGGTCCGTATAAGACGTCCCCAGTGGACTGGTGTCCTCCAAGGCTTGCCGCCTCGGGGTCTCCTCATGGTCGCGACAACGTCTCGTTTGGTTGGCATTTCTGTGTGAAGGCAAGCGCGCTCTGCAATCATCGTATTCCTGTAGCTGTCTCCATATCGACTTTTCCCCAGGCTTTCTGTGTCTATCCGGCGCAAACTTCTGAAAGCCGAAAACGTGGTCGAACAGGGTCTCCGGAACACGCGCATTCGGGATGATAACATTGCCGTCGTTATCGAGATCAAAGTGCGGTTTGGAGATCTGACTTGCAAGCACTGCGTTCAATGGGTAACAAGGATCCGTGTGCAGAGGCTTCGTCTCAATCTCATTAGTTTCCATCACGCTTCTCATTTGCAGATCGTACATGCGGCAGCGGATGGGAAACTCGTCGCTAGGCAGTTTCTGTGTGGCATCTGAAACCGACAGGGCGATGCCCTGGTAAGACAATTCTTCTTCCGAGGCCCCGGTCCAGTATGAGACGTGAAGCCATTGGGGTATGGCAGACACCCACTCCTCCTGAGAGGAGAGAGGTCCAGCTGGCTCGCCATTTCGTGAGCCCTCGATTCTTTTGTTCGGTGAGTAGGAGCCTGCGAGGCTGCTGTAGCTCCCAAAGGTAAGCGTCGTCTGCTTTGGCGTGCTCCCCTGGCTGATATCCACCTTGCTTTTGCGTTGGACTTGGCCGGGTTGGCGGGGGTTCCGGTATCGAAAAAGGGGCACCGAATGTAGGGGGATGTTGGGGATACAGATCAAATCGATACCGATGCCGTTGCACGCGAGGGCCTCGGTCGTCCGGCGCAATGCATCGTACTCGACCTCGAAAACGCCAGGACTCGGACTAATGACAACCACAGAGACACCAGTCCTCGTCAAATCTCGGTCGATATAATCGTGGGCGTATAGTGACGAGGCCATGTTTATGGCTTCGAGGAAATTACCATGGATAGCTCGCGAGGCCTCAGCCTTGATTCTGTTTAGCAGCACCTCCTGTTCGCCAGAGTCCTCCCCTGAGTTGGTTGGCTCCATGGCCTTTTGATGGTATGTGCTGATATCTTTCCGAAAATAATTGAATTCGCGTTTGAGCTGATGCAAGATCCTGGTCCATTCTCCGCTGCCCATCTCGCTGACCACAACGCGATAAAAGTCCTTGTAAGGGCGCTGGTCTTCCGAGGCCTGGACGCCGGTGTAGTAGCCATGGTGGGCCGAGGCAGATGCCAGCTCGGTGGAGATACCCGTATCGTACTCGACGCGGGCAAACAAGACAATGGTAACGAGATGTTTGACTTTCATGGCGGCCCATTTCTTAAATAGGGCAGGCAGGAACCCGTTGACAACCTTGTTGAACATGATCTCGCCAGAGCCGTCTTGGTCAAAGTCCCACATCTCACGGGCCATCTGGATAAAAAGCACATAGCGAGCTGACTCGCTGCGAAAGACGGGTTTCGTGTGGCGGCCAAAGAAGGCCGATTGGGCTTTGCGCCCATCAACGTAAACGGCAGTCACCTGGGCCTTGACGGTGCCCATGAACAAAACCATCTGACCCTTGTAGACGGTCCTCTCGGCCAGCTCTCCAACAGCCATCCTCCACATATCGGCTCGAGAGAGATACTGGTCCTTGAAACACAACTCAACATGAGATGCCTCAAGGGCTGGATTGTTCTCATCGATCTACCCTACTTTTAGTATACCTCTAGCCGCAACGGGGGAACGTGGCCAGGGAACGTGGCCGGGGAGTGGGCGACTATGCTCCCTAACATACTGGAGTGAGGGTGACCTGGGTGCCCTTCCTCATCGCAAAGGCATCGGCGACATGTTTGGCGACGTAGACCTCCACCGAAGCGTACCGGGCCTTCAGCTCCTTAGGCATGTCCTTTGCAACGCAGATATAGCGCCTTTCTACGCAGCCCGCCGTGGCGGAATCTTTGCGATCTTGGAAGTGCCTGGGGTGCGAGTTCTGTAACGGTTTCTCGGAGTCCGCCTTGACCACGTCGATGGCCACAAGGCTGCCGGGCTGGATATCATCCCCAATCAGGTCCAAGTTGAGGAGGACCTCGTCGCGGGCTAGCGACTCGTTGACGGTGACGGTCCATCGCCGCTCCGTGCGCAAGCGGGATGACAGACGGGACGAAGGGCGTTCGCGAATAGTAGAGTTGCTCGAGACAGTGTCGCCGGGGGAGTTCGAATAGGCGTGTTCGAGGGACCGGTCGTGGCTGGACCTCCTGAAATGGCGGAGATGGGTTGGCCAATTATTATTCGGACCCTTCGCTAGCCCTGGCGTCGCCGACAACGACGCCGATGATGAATTTCGAGGTGGAGGAGGCATGGAGAGCAGAGGCCAGCAGTGCTCGGGTTGCGCATCAATCCCTGTCTCCACAAACAATTGAATGCAGATTTCGAAGGGTCATAGCGCTAAGTGCAAGCGCTCTCAACTTGGGAGGCATGTACTGTGTAAGGTACCCGGAGACATGGAGAAAATCGCGGGTGGTTGCAGTGTGTTTCTGTTCCTGTCAATTGTCGTCGCACCTAGGTAGGGAGTTGGTAATAAGGGAGGTAAGGTAACGACCTAACTTGCAGGGGATAGAGCTTGGAAGGCTCAGGAGGCTCGCTCATGCCGCCGGCAGAATCAGTGGGGCATCACCCACCGCCTACCAATCCAGGCTGTCCGCCCACGGGCACTCCCTGTAACTATCCCCGGTCATAGGCGATGCCAAAGCTGGGCATGGTTCCAACATGGTTCCACAAGTACAACCTGAACAACAATCATTTCCATCTACGAATGTCGCCATCCATCCCCTTTCATCTCCATGTTAGCCCCTTAACGGGTATCAACCTTGACTTGCAGCACAGGGTCAGACAAGATGTTTGAATCCCATGGTGCCATAGTTAATGATATAGTGCTCGGTTTAATTGTGATGGCGAACATGGAACATTTGCAAGGTACGGTTTTAGACGGAGGAATTCCACTCTTTATCTGATGTTTAGATACACACAGTTAGCTTCATTCGGATTGAACGTGCTGGTCTTCGGGGCCTCGGTGGCGTATGTATGTGCTCTCTCACACAGTGCCTCCGAAAACATACACCACGAGGTGTCCCAGAACTCTGTGAGACCCCTTCCCGTTACTGTACCAACACAATAATACCTTGCCATGAACCTCGACAGACACAATCGAGAAAGTGGTGTATTGCATGAACGAAGTCTAAACTACTGCCTTCGTAAAAGATAATCATACTAGCTAGCTAGCTAGCTGTCAAAAGCCCTACTGCATGTTCAAGGGAGTGTCTGTTATAATGATTGTAACCCCTGAGCCGGGTTTTATGTCATGCCTCCTCCCGATGGCTTCCTTTGATATGTCCTCGGCCTTGGTACACTGCTGTACTCTCCTCCATGCCACTATCCTCCCGGTGAAAGGCCTTGTGCAATGGCCGTCTACCCTCAAGGTTCTCCATCCCATCGCTCCGGTCTGCCGAGAAGTCGACGACAGAAGCAATGTTCCTTGATCTCCGCTACAGCGGGTAGGCCATGCGACTGCTGTTTTTCTTTTTTCTTTTTTTTGTTACTCTTTGTCACTCTTCGTAACACCCATCATTCTCTTCATCACAGGCTTCACCAATTTATCCCGAGACTCCCTACCCCCTCGGCGTCGAGATATCGAAGCTCCGGTTCTTTGAGGCCGGAAAAGAGGGAAACATTGCCATAATCATCAAGCCGGCGCCCGTCGCCGACATCATATCCCGATCATGGCGTTCAAACTATCTGACAAGCGGAAAATTTCGGTGGCCATCGTCATATCCCTCGCCTTCTTCATCGCGGAGCTAGGAGGTATATCGCAGGACTTCCCAGCGAGGAGTGACAGTTGGTCGCTAACGATAGACAGTCGCTTTCAAAACGGGTAGTCTTGCCCTCATGGCCGATGCTTTTCACTACGTAAGTCAATAACCCAGAGCTATTGCTTTAGTCAGCGATATTAACTAGAATATTAATTAGTTGAACGATCTCGTCGGCTTTGTGGTGACCTTGATGTCGATTCTAGTAATCTCCACGCTTATGGCCGGTTCGTAACTACATCGTAGCTGACCATCGTCTAGATGTCCGAAAAAAACCAGTTTCGACAGGACTTCTCATTCGGTTGGCAGCGGGCTCGTGTGCTCGGAGCCTTCTTCAACGGGGCCTTCCTCCTCGCCCTAGGCATCAGCATCCTGCTCCAGTCCATCGAGCGCTTCATATCCCTTAAGGAAATCGAGGAGGTAAAGTTGATGCTCATAATGGGCTGCGTGGGACTCGGACTGAACATCATAACTGCTGCATTCCTACACGGTCAGTTACCACCAAGTCGCGTTTAGATCCAGAACTTACACACCGTTCCTAGAGCATCACCACCACCACTCCGACATCATCCCCGACCCCGAATCCGAAACCAGCCCGGGAGCCCAGTCCCCCACAGACCTCCTCCACCAAGGCCACGCACAAGACGAGTGCCCCTCGAAGGGCCCCTTCCCAGCCGACGACCACGCCAACCACCGCCACACCCAACACACGCCCCACCCGCCCGGCCGCGACCTCGGGATGCTAGGGGCACTACTCCACGTGGCCGGCGACGCGCTCAACAACGCGGGGGTGATCATGGCCGCGGCCGTGATGTGGCTGGTGCCGGCGGCGGCGCGGGGCCGTTTCTACGCCGACCCGGCCGTGGGGCTGGCCATCGCGCTGACCGTCCTGGCCACGGCCGTGCCGCTGCTCCGGCGCAGCGGCGAGATCCTGCTGCAGAGCGCGCCGGTGGGGGTCAGACTCGGCGATGTCAAGGCGGATATGGAGAGCGTGCCGGGGGTGGTGTCGGTGCATGAGCTGCGTACGTGTTATTTCTCTTTTCTTTTTTTTTTTTTTTTCTTAAAAAAAAAAAAAAACACATAAATCACAAATTGCACCTGGCTCTCTCCTTTTTCTCCCCCCTTTTCCTTCTCCGAGATACCTACCTACCTCTCTCACCGGGATGAAAACAGCTAACACCCAACCCAAACAGACATCTGGCGCCTCGACCAACACAAAGCGATCGCATCAGCGCACGTCGTCGTCTCGGGCCCGGGCGTGGGCGCGGACCTGGCCGGCTTCGCGGTACAGGCGCGCATTATCCGGGAGTGCTTGCACGCCTACGGGATCCATTCCGTAACCTTGCAGCCAGAACTGCTGCCGCCGGCCTCGGTCTGCCCTTCGGCCGCCGATTCGGTCAGTTCCGCGGCGGTAATGGGCGCGGACGGCGGTGACGGCAGCGGGAAGGGCGAGGACACTCTTTCTCTCTCCTGAGAGTCCGGCTGTGCCCTGCCAGATGGTGTGCGGCCGCGGTATGTGTGGCCATCTCGTGTGCTGCAGCGGTCTAAGCAGGCGTGAGGGAGGGGGTTCGTCGGGCACGGATGTTGCGGTTGGGCTTTT